GCCACCTTTTTTCTTGGCTGTCGTCACTTGTGGTGCTTGGTCTGCACTCGACGTACTTCTCGTTTTGCAAAATAGTGGGCACGTCACCGCAAGCGCAGGTGTCGCGCGTGCGACGCAACTTGTAACGCGATTTCCGCTGCACCGCTGCAACTTGTACCTCTTGACCATGGCAACCAACAGCGGATCGCCAATATCATGCGCTGCTTGCTCATGTCTAGTCGCTACCTCGAGTGAGTGAGCATTGTGGGCGGAGAAAGTCTCAAATAACGATAAAATGATTTCTTACCCTGATCTTTCTGGAACTTCCTCTCCTGGAGGAACGCTCTGAACGGCGCGAAACCCGTTCCGGGACCGATCATAATAACGGGAGTCGTTGTACGATGTGGTAGACGCATTTGTGATTTGCGTACAAAAACTGGTGTACGGTCATTCACTTCCTGAAAGTGATAAAACTAGAACTGATCTGATGTTCAACAGTGCAGCGTAATTTTTACGTGTCTATTCTTTGATTCATAATATTATACACCGTCTTAGTTCCACATGGTACCGCGCGCGCCACATGGCGGTTGAAAACACCAACCCACAAGAAAATTCGGCGCTATCGCAAGATACGGGGGCCTCTAGGACTGTGTGCCTAAGAGGGTAGTAAATACGGACAAAATCGAATTTGCTCACGCACTCTGGAGTCTGCCGTCCTGAAGGCTTAGCCCTGTTCTCAACAAAGAGGACTGTTTTACGCGATTTTTTTAAGCAGTGCCACCATAATGCCCCCGTATTTTCGATAGCACCGAAAATCCTGACTCAAATTGCCCAGCATCGGTTCAATTTGCCGATTTGCGCAGGAAATGCCAACAGAACACCCCCTCCCGAACTACCACTGAAAAGGCTCACTCAAGAATCCACAGTTCTGAAAATGCATCAACGGCGTGGTTCACACAGTTATGGAGCCCTTTCTGGGAAAATAAGGGCGTTCCTTGTCACATATTTTTTCTATTCTTCTCACCAAAGGTGACTCATAAGCCGTTCGACGTCACTTTTGACTCCACCACTTTCTTAAAGGACGAATTCACGATGAAAAAGCAACCCATTTCAAATTAACCTAGGGATGGTGAGTGGTACACGAAAGAAGGAAGAACCATGAGAAACGGCCCAGAACCCGAGAAATGGTACCCCTTCCTTGCCCGTTGATTCGAGCATTGATGCGACTCTCATCGCTGTGCCCTCTTCAACACTACGCTCTCTCAGCTATCTAATCACTCGCCACGTATTGAACTACGGCGAGTGATCAGATGATCGGTGGGCGGAGATCGCCGGACCCGCCAGCTTTGAGGCATGATAGGTCGCCGAGGTCAAATTTTTCCATGCGAATTGCGCGTCAGTTCGCACCCTCAGGAGGTCCGTGGGTCCCTCAACTAGGTCAGTTTCCCTTTCTTCGACCTTCATTCTAATCGTGAATTCCTCCTTTAAAAGGAATGGTTGTCATAAGGGTGAGGGAGGGGGAGGGGGTAACTTTCGCTGATAACGAAAGACATGCCGAATACAGCATTATTTCTACTAGACATTCCAGGCGGCTAACAAGCAAACAAGCCCAACTGCGTAAATCTTGCAGCCCCGCCCCAAAACAAACAATGAGCCTGGTCCCATCCCCCCTACTTCCAGCCGGGCCTTTATTTTTGTTTCATTGAATTCCTCATAAGCTCCAGCATGTGCTGGAGGTTATAGACACATGTTTTTCCCCTATGTTAATAGTATCACGAACACTGCAACAGCATGCCCCTCCGTCGGCCAATAGATCCTTTTGAAGCGTTCCCGTCTAACGAGTAACGAAAATAAATAATTGAGGTGTTGTTAAGATACGGGGTATCCCTAATAAGTGAGCTTAGGAGACGAGCAGGAAAACTTCGGGGAAATGAAAAGTTGCTCGCACATACTGGAAGCTCTCCACAACTTCCTGAGGCTTTAATCCCGTTCAAAAAAGGGCATGTTTTATGCGGTTTTAGATATACTGCCACCATAATGCCCCCGTATCTTGTACAGCGCCAAAATCGATACTTATTAATCGTAAACGCCTGTCATTAAACGCATGAGCCACCTTTCCAAGCCAAATAAGTTCGTCAAACTCTTTAATCAGCGCGATCACCATCGTGTATTTCGTGGACGAATACAACAGTTGCTAATACGTTCTCCTGATGTTTTCGGAGACGAGGCATACTGTAGTAGGCGAGCCTGGACGATTATATGTTGTAATAATTGATTACAGCAGCTACAACTTTCAGTGAACAAATAGGAATTAATTCATTAACCCTTTCCGGACCGCGCACTTTTCACGTGGCGGGCGCGTGTGGCCGGCGCCTTTTTATGCTCACCGTCGCGCGCTACTCAGCGAGCATAAACATCATGTATTTAATCTGTATTCCCATAAAAACCAATATTATTCTCGTTTGTGTCTTTCTCATGTTCTTAAAGTTACCAGTTTTGCTTCGCCCGCTATCGCGCGCATCACACGGCAGGCTTTAGCGAAATTGGAGGACCCATGGAATATCAGCATGAGATACTCCATTCAACCATCTCACTATTGACTGTGTTAGACCCTCCACAGTTTCACTGAAGCTCATCGAAGAATACGCGTGATAACGTCGTGAGCTGTGGTATACGTTCGATCACGAAGCGATAGAAGTAGGAGACATCGCGAGCCATTTTTCGTTAGGATTCAAGAGTAATTTAAAGCGGTTAAGTAGGATTGCTGTCAGTCTTCAAAATCGAAAACGATAGTATGCCGTACGTGAAATAGTATGCTATTCGTGAGCATAAGTGAGGAGGCTGAGAGTGCTTGAGTGCGAGTGTGAACATGTATGGGGTTACATTCGTCATTATTTAGAACCACGAAAGGATTAGCGGTTTAATGAGATTGGGTTTTCTTAATAGTCAGAAATGGAACTTATCATTCGCTGAAGACTTGTTTTTTAAAATTTATGCAGTCGAATTCTATTAAATAAGCTGGACATATATATCGGAATAATGTGCACGTACCTTTTGTTTGTACTACTACGACTTACTACAATTTGTAAGTAGGAACGCTCTAGTGTCAACGCTGCGTAACGGAACTAACGACTTTTGCGTTCTGACGCGCCTTATCGGCCCTTATCAATCGTTATCAGTTTCTGGCACCCACCAACAATGTCCCCGTCCCACCCCACATAACACTTGTAAGTATGGTTGCTCTGGTGTCAAGGCGAGCCAGGCAACGGAATCGACGACTTCAGCGTTCTGGCGCGCCTATCGAGGGGCGCGCTTTCGAGGATATCGTAGTATCTTCTAGTTTCTGGCACCCACCAACAATGTCCCCGTCCCACCCCACATAAACACTTGTAAGTATGGTTGCTCTGGTGTCAAGGCGAGCCAGGCAACGGAATCGACGACTTTTGCGTTCTAGCGCATCTTATCAGCCATTATCAGTTGCTATCGCTTCCAATCATGTACCACCAATGTTCCGGGACCGCCCCACATAAGACTTGTAAGTATAGACGCTCTCTTACCAATATGAACGGCAAAACGAAATTGGCGATGCTCGCTTTCTAGCCCCTCTTATCAGCTATTATCAGTCGTTATCAGTTCCTATCACGTACCACTTGTGTCCCCATCCCACCCCCTATAACATATTGTAAGAACCACTGCGCTATCGTTACTGTGACTCGAGCTATGAATTTCCGTTCAAACATACACACACACCACAGAGGACCGGGGGGAGAAGGGAGCGCAGATGGAAGGGGAGGGAGGTAAGGGGGGGAATGGGCACACACACCAACAGACACACGCTAGCCGCTATATATAGTAGGATGATTTGTGGTAAAATTTAACAGAAAGGCCGGGTCCTGATGGATGAGAAATAGAGCAGGGGCCAGCAGGGGCAGGAGAAGGGAAGGGAGACACAGGGGAGGTGGAAAATTGTGTGTGCAAGAATGAAGGTGGGTGTAAGTGGGGAGGACAAATAGGGAATTGAGGACGAAGTTATACGACAAAACTTTTAGGTTCAAGTTGAATAGTATCAGCTACGACGTGTACAAAATGTCATGATTGCTTTTGTATGAATTGTTTTCAAATGAGTTATAACTGTTTTCTTCAAGAACGAAGTGGAAGTTAACTTAGTTTTTCTTTAGTTTAGGACCTATTTCGAGATTGTAGTCCAGATTTTTTCATACGTACGGCATAAGTATGTTACATAGATATGTAACAACAAAAAACATTTTGTAAAGGCATCGTATAG